ACGTTACATTACATTACATTAGATTACATTACATCACATTACGCTACACTGCATTACATTACACTACGCTACGCTACACTACATTACATTACATTACGTTGCACTACACTACAATGCATTACATTACATTACATTACATTACACTACACTACACTACATTACATTACATTACATTACATTACATTACATTACACATACATACATACATACATACATACAAACATACATACATACATACATACATACAAACATACAAACATACAAACATACAAACAAACAAACATACATACATACATACATACACACATACACACATACACACATACATACAAACAAACAAACATACATAAATACATACACACCCACGTACATACATACATGCATACACACATGCAAACATACACACATACTAACATAACATAACATATCATAACATAGCACACCATACATACACACATAGATACGTAGTTACATACATACATACATACATACATACACATACATACATACATACATACATACGTACATACATACATGCATACATAACATACATAACATACATAACATTCATAACATACACAACATACAATACATACATCACATACATCACATACATAACATACATAGCATACATAACATACATATCATACATGACATACATGACATACATATCATACATAACACACATAACATACATAACACACATAGATACATCCATCCATACGTACATCCATACATCCATCCGTCCGTACATGCATGCAGGCATGCTGCATGCATGATGCATGCATACATACATACACATGCATGCATGCACGCATGCATGCATATACATATACATGTATACATATACATATGTATATGTGTATATATGCATGTATACACACACACATATATAATTGTATACATATATATATATGTATATGTATACACGTACACACACACACACACGCACATATATACACATATACACATACATACATCATACGTGCGTACGTACTCACATACATACATACATACACGACGCGCACACACACGCATCTCTCTCTCTCTCTATACACGCATGCACATTTACGTTTTGTATACATATGCATATTCCTATACATGTGTACGCATATATATATATACATATGTGTATTATATATGTATATATATATGTATGCTATATGTGTATAGGCGTATTGGTTTATTCGTTTTTTTGCAGTGTACACACATATTCATGCCAGTTCATGCAAGTTTGTGTACATATACATACATATGCATCGACATAGAGATGGACAGAGACACATGCACAGACGCATACATATAAAGATATAGACGTGTACCACAGCAGGCCGCGGGTGCCCAACAAGACGTAGCATAGAGATGTTGAACACATGTAGCAGTACATGGGTCAGTAGATACAAAGGTTCCGTGGCATGTCCATGGGTGCTCAGGTGGGGGTTTATCGCACATCAAATCCGACCACCCCGGCCGACGATGGGCAGGCATTGACCGCTCGGGGTTGAGGGGTTCAGGATTCGCAGGGGGCTTGAGTTTAGGGGCGGAGGTTTTTTAGGGCTATAACTTTTGGGTTTTAAGGTTAAGGGTTTAGGGGATGACGGTTTAGCGGTTTAGGGCTTGTGTGGGTTTTGTGTATTGGGTTTTTTGTGGTGCCACCAATGTGCTCTCACCTGGTTCTCCAGTTGCTCAACACAGACGATACGTCGTGTTTCGTCTGCGTTGCAGAATCGTTGATGCACAGCATGCGTAGACAGAGACTCAAAGCCCAAAGCCCTAAGCCTTAAACTCCAACCCCCAGAAGCCTTCAAACATGAGCAGAGAAGCTTCACGCCCCAGAACCCTTTATGCCAGGCTCTTGAGAAGCTGATGCCGGCACAGTATGCCGGAACCCAAGGGCATCAGAAGGGAGCGCCAGGAAAACCCTGCAGATTATTCGGGTAGGGGGTTTCGAGTTTAGGGTTTAGGATTGTAGGGTTTAGGGTGGGCTTTGCAGACCGGGCTGGGAGCATCAGCCTATCTGTAGATCTGCTTCATCTTTCGCGCGAGACCCCTTTCAAGCCGCTTCTATCCTTGAAACGGGACAACGACGCTACGGCTACACCCTAAGCCCTAACCGTTAGGCTCTAACCCTCAAGTCCCAACAAGTAAGCCCGGAGCCCGAAAACCCTACACCACGAGACGGAAAAAGGAGTTCAAAAAACAAAGAAACCCTACACACCACAGACATCCTAAACCTTTTCTTTAAGGCCAGCAGCATCGACCAGCTGAAGCGCCTTTTGGCCCACGAGACGCTGGAAGATACTGCTGCCACTCTCGAGGTCGCCCTGAAGGCGGCGATGGCAACGGCCGAAGGGGGGGGGGCGTTTTGAAAGGGGGCCCTAAGATCGGAAGATGTAATGTGTGGGGTTGTATATGAGTTATGTTGGTTCTGGTGGTCGAATTCGTAGGAGTAGGGTGGTGGTGGTAGTAGTAGGAGGGGGAGTAAGAGTGGGAGGAGGAGGAGGCCGCCGGAGTGGTCATGCTAATAGCTATCGGTAGTACACTCACAGACCTAGCTGTGGTGGTTGCGCTCATGGCAGCCACTGCCTATTCATCGCAGCGTCAACAGCAAAATGAACAACTAGCAAAGGGTTTGTGTGTGCTGCGCCGGGTAAACGTCCATGAGAATCAGCACGCGCACACTCTTCGATTCGAGACCCCTAGCTCCTGAACCTTATCCGTTGAACCCCAATCCTCAAATCCGACACCCTAAACCGTCATGGACACAGGTGATCATCTCCCTTCTTGCTGGACTCAAGAACAAGTCAGGACGTCTCAGGGTTGCCACTCCACTGGAGGTTTAAACACATGCACAGCTTTGATTCCTCTCGGCGGGGGGGGGGGGGCCAAGCCCTAAGTCCTTATACAACTCCTGTGAACAGCCGATGAAAACCCATTAGCCAACTCCCTGCCTATAAGAAGCTTCGATCAAACGACCTAGCAACAAGCCTGAAGAACCAAGCCCGATGATCTCGCCAGATCCCTATGTAAACTCGGCATTCAAGCTTTCGAGCCGGAGACACAAACCTCTCGGTCGTGGGGCTTTTCCAGGGTTTGCTATAGGGCTTCTTAGACGGTTTTGCTGCAGCGTGATGAAGGATTGAGAGGTCACGTATGGGGTTTAGGGTTCTTGGGGGCTCCAGGGAAATTTTGGCAGGGCTTGCATGGGTTAGGTTTCTGGGGCGTTGATAAGTCTCAGGTTTCGGGAATTCATACGGGATTGTGGGATTGTACGGGCTCTAGAAGAGCTCTCTATCATGGTTTAGGCTTAGACTTCTTTGGGATGTGTGGCCTAGGGTTTTACAGTTGTAGCCTCAGCTCTAAAGCCCAAAACCCGAAACCCGGTACTATAGATGTATGACGGAACGCTTAAGGAATGATAAAGGAAATCTAAAGCCTAAGCCAAAGCGACCGCTCCCAAAAGGAATTCTGGTGGTTCTACAGTTCGAGCAGGCCGTTGCGTTCTTGGACATTGCAACTCCAGGGTTTGTAGGGTTTAGGGTTTGGGGTTAAGGGTTCGGGATGGGGTTTAGGCTATTCCACCACTATGGCTTGTTACAGCTTTCAGAGATGATGATTCTTCTCTCCATGCCCTTGCGTCTTAGAGTTTGCTACAAAGATCATGGTGTAGCCGAGGGGCTTTGATTCGTGTTGTGCGTTTGACTAGCCGTCCTTGTCCATGTGATCAGTCTGTTTTGAGTGCAGGTTGAAACTGTTTGGGGCCGAGGCCTGAACCCTGAACCCTGGAAGCCCCCCCCCCCCCNNCCCGGAACCTTCAACCCTAAACCCTAAACAACTCCTAAACCCTAAACTCTGAACCCTCCTAAACCCCTAAACCCTAAACCCCTAAACCCCTGAACCCCTAAACTCTGAACCCTCAGTGGTAACCCGCCCTGAACACCAGATGCGAGCCTTCATCCGACTGCAGGGGACGAGCCTCTTCGAGAAAACTGCCAAGGATGACTTGGTCTGCGGCCCAGGTAGTATAGTATAGTATAGTTTAGAAATAGTTTAGTATAGCATAGCTTAGTTTAGTATAGTATAGTACAGTAGTGTAGTATAGTACAGTATAGTCTAGTATGGAATAGTTTAGTATAGTACAGTAAAGTAAAGTAAAGTAGAGTATCTATCTATCTATCTATCTATATATATATATATAGAGTACAGCATAATATACAACAGCGTAGTATAGGGTAATATAGCAAAGTACACATAACATACTAGAATTAAACATGTAGCATAAGAACACAGTATAGTATGGTGTCGTGTGCTATGATACACTACAGGTCATTGTAGGTCATCCTCTGAGGTTTAGGCAAGTGCCCCCTGAGGGGGGGAAGTATGCTGCTTGATAGGGGGGATGTGTGGGCCTTGATAGCTCCGCCTCTGGGGGTGAGTTGTTGTGAGGTTCAGGGTTTATGTTTCGGGGCTTAAGGTGGGTGGTGATGCGCGGAAGACGGTAGGGGCCGCTTGAATGTAGGGTCCCAGCATAGATACGGTCCCGTACGGGTGATGGTGGGAGCAGTGATGACTCTTTCAGTTGCAGGTTCCTCCACTGGTCCAGCCCCAAAGCCCAAATCGTACCCACAAACCCTGAACCCAAAACATTAAACCCCGAAGCCCCTCTAAGCTCTAAACCCCCGACCCCCCTCCTCCAAATCGCCGAGGCCATCTTCTGGAGATTTACCTCCGAACTCAGTATCCTCATTGCGAAGGTGGCATGCCAACTGCTAACATGGAGGGTATCGGGTGTGGATTTAGGGCACAGGGTTGATGGAGATACAGGCTAATCTTGCAGAGCAAAATCCTGCATGACCCCAAATACCTTTATGCTTTGGGAATTTCTGGTGGTATCCCGACCCCAAACCCTAAACCCTGCAACCCTCAACCACGCCCCTAAACCCCGCAACAAGCTCTAAAGCACCGTTCAACCATCCCAACCTCCAGACTCAACTATAACTAAGGAAGCCTATAGAAGTTACCAAGACAAATCCTGAGGGTTCCTTGACATAACCATACTGTAAGAGACCTCAAAAACCTGCTCTTACTATTGAGGCTCTTATACTAACCCCCCATGTCACCCCTTATAGAAGCAACGATGGCCCCCTTCATGTTAGAGCCCTTTAGACCGGAACCGCCAAGGAAAGCCCCTATGGTATACCCTCATGATGCTACTCGTACCCCTTGTTAGTAGCCCTTTCTACGAACCCTTAAGTAACCCTTCAAGAGACTCTTCAAACAGCTCAAGTTGCTGCAGGAGAGGTCGATCAGCGGCCTGGTGCTTGTACGAGAGGCGCATTTTCTTTACGTCTACGTTTGCAGGGTGTAGGGACTGTAGGGTTTAGGGTTTGGGATTCGGATCTTGATTGGGGTCTAGCTTGGGTTTAGGGTTGTGGCTTTATGGTTTTGGCCTGAGAATTCGGGTCTAGTTGGGGTTTGCAGGACCGGAATGGCAAGAGCACAGCAACTGCAACCGCGGAAGAAGTAATCGTGAGGTACATCTCGAGCCCTGCCTCGCAAAGGTTTCAGCACAGAGTTCTGCGCAGGCACGGTACGACCAGCAGTGTGTCAAAGACGCCGCTGCAGCCGGGACCTTGCTGACTCTCAAGGGCCTCAATGACTCTTGGCTGGCAGACGCTGCTTGAACCCTAGCTAAGGGTTTAAAACCCCAGGCTCTTAACCCTAGACTCTGAAGCAAGCTTGGGTCTCCTCCGAATCTAAACTCCTTTCCTTGCTTGGTCATGTGGGTTTATATGTGTAGACGGTGACACAAAAATCGATTTTGTGCCGATGTCGTTTGCACGAATCATCCTTGAGTTTCTTCCTCAGCTCTCAATCCGAAGCTGCTGCAAGAAGAAACTCAAACTCAAAGACATTCCAAAACAAACTCCAACCCGAAAACCTCTAAACCAGGAAGAGCATATCCTTGAGTACATGGCCAACTACCTGGGCATCCCGGAGGAAGCTGTTCCACCGCCGCTGAGACGTTTCGTTTCACAGGCAGGGCTGGGAGGTTATTATATTATTGTTATTATTGTTATTACTACTATTATTATTATTACTATTATTGTTATTATTACTGTTATTATTATTGTTAATCGAAACCCACCTTGTCAGCAACTATGGAGGGGTGTCCGAGGACCGGGGGTTGCCAAATCTGCATCGGACAGTCGGAAACCTCCGTAGGTTAAAGCAAGAACAGTAAGACCACCAAGAATCCTTCCAAAGGCAGCAGTCGCAAGCACAGCATGACAGCTAGAACAGTGGGACTGGTAGGGTTGGTAAGAACAGCAACAGATAAATGATGGCAAGAAAAGATTGAGCCACGGTAAGCCTACGAAGACTGACCAGGTCACACAGTCACACTATAGTCATCATCGTCTTGAGTTACGATTGCGCGGCTGCCGCTGCTACTCATGTGGCTGATGCTTCTCCAGCTATTGCTACCTGCTGCGGCTCTGCTCTCGAGTGCTGCTGCTGCTGCTGCTGCTGCTGCTGCTTCGCGACGACCACCACGATGCCGGCCACCATGACGACCTGCTAGAAGAACACCGACGATGGCAAGCGACGACGACGGCTGTGGCGATGGGGATGTCGACGACCGCAGCAATGAAGCAGCGTAGCGGTCTTCTGAATTTTAGGTTACCCGGAAATCCGGGTACCTACACCTAAAACCTAAACCCCAAGCCAGGTGACCATGGGCAATCCGCTCTACATCCGTGAAACCTTGGACCAGCTTAGCGAGGAAAACGTCCTCAAGGCACATTTGGGTGTTAGGGTTTAGGGGTTAGATGTCTTAGGGTTTAGGGCTTAGGGTTCCAGGGTGTAGGGTTCAGGGTCTGCGTGGCACCAACCAGAGTGGAGGGCGATGGACTGCCAAGTGCAAACCGAGTCGCTGCTCAAGACCAGTCAACCACCTCGCAACAGCACCCTTCTTGAACCGTTTTGGTACCCGTAAACCCTAAACCCTGAACCTTAAGCCCTAAACCCGAAACCCGAAAGCACCTGTATAGTACCCTTCTAGAGCCACTATGGTAGCCTCTTCAAGGAAGCCGTAAAGGGAAGCCACGCGCTGCAAAGCTGGCCCCAAAACAAAGCCTGAACCCAGGAAAATCTGGTTTAGGGCTTGGGGTTTAGGGAAACTTAAGCACGCTTGAAATCCCTGATGTAACCAGTGATGGCTCTAAATGGAAGGGAAGCTTCGGCAGACGCAGCTCAGTACTCTTCGGCCCTCCGCAGTTGAAGCATCGATTCACTTCGCAATAAAGAAGCATTCTCCGAGTTTCTTCCTGTATACCGGGAGCCTAGGGTTTTAGGGTTTCGGGTTGAGGGTTTGTGCATTTTTTTCGTGGCTTGTATGTCCCTGCAGGAAATTACGGGTTTGTGTTGTTCATGGGCTCAGATTTTCGGGTTGAGGGTCTTGGGTTTTGGAGATGAGGGTTGCCTTCGATGAGGGAAATGGTGGATGTCGCATTGGAAAGTGCATGGCTGGTGAGAGGTTTCCAGCTGCTTCGTAGCTGAGTACGATCTGTTTCTCAGTTTCATGCATTGGCACCAACTTCCGACACTTGTGCAACACCTTTGTCTTGCCGTCAATGCCTTAAAGCCCTTATCAATCCCCTTGAAGTCCCCTACTGTCCCTGCAGCGTTGCAAAACCCCCCGCAGTCCCATCACCAGCTGTCGAAGGTGAAGCCTGGCACCTCAGCGACCTTGATCGGGGCGCTCGAAAAAATAGACATCTCTGTCCGGGCCCAGGGTGGTCGTGCATTTAGCAATAGCTCCGTATAGGCCTGATGTAGCTATAGCATAAAAAGACCCCAAACCTTATTCTAAGCTTGTAGGCCCCTATCTGTTTGGCTTTGAAGTTAGTATAAGATGTTGGAACCCCGTCGAAGAGTATACCTGCGAAAACGATCTGATCTGCAGTGCTGCTGTGCGGAAGTCCCTGTGTCATGGACATTGCGCGGTGGAAGTTTGTAGTGGCTTGACGTTTCCTTCCAGAACTTCATGATGGTGCCGGATGCCGTCAAGTCACCAGATTCTCTAGTTACTGACCGTCAAGATGAGCCCAGAAGTTGCGTTCCGAAGCTGTGATCCTACCACGCGAGTGTTGAAGGCCGGAAGAGTCGACGCTAGCAGTTGCTCGCTGCTAGCAGTGGCAATCGCCCAGGTGGTGGTGATAGTGGTAGTGGTCGTCTCAATAGTGGTCGTGGTGGTCTTGACGACAGTGGCCTCGCTAGTACCCATATCAGCAGTTCCAAGACCTTAAAAACAGAGCAAGAGGTAGCAAGCGTAATTGCAATCCATATCCGAATCATCGCGTCCAAGACTCCGATGCGAGCCGATGTGCTCAGAAAACCGTGCTCACCAAGATGCGCATGTCCTCTCTCTTGCCCTTTCCTCAACCCCTTGCATCCCAGTCCCAGCAGGCACTCTCCCAGCCCTAAGCAACAAGCCACACCACAAAGCTGAACACCAAAACCCAGAGCCCCAAATCCCAAAAGAGCCCGGGCTGAAATCCCAAGGCCCAGCCCTAAGGCCACGGCCTGAAGCCCCTGAAAGGGCCCTTGAAGCCCTAAAAGCCGAGGCCTGGAACCACACCGCCATGGTGGGAGGAACGGTCTGTAACATCGAGTCCCTGGACCCAATCGAGGCACCTAAAATTGGGTTTTTTTTGCAGGTTTTCTTTGGGATTGTTTCTAAGCGTGTAGTAGGGTTTGGTAGGGCGCATGAAGGAAGGTAGGGGGTCTAGGATTTTTGGGGTTTAGGGTTAAGGGCAAGTTTCAGGGTTCCGGTCAAGGGTTTTGCGGGTTATTGCTTTGAGGTTGGAGTAATTTGTTGGAAGATCCCCGCACTGTCCACAATTTAGTATTATCAACTACAAGATACTCCCGAAGTCCGGTTCTGATAATTGAGGCCTGCCTCTGCGTCTCTCTGTCTGTCTGTCTGGCTGGCTGGCTGTCTGTCTGTCCGTCGGTCGGTCTGTCTGACTGTCTGTCTGTCTGTCTCTCTCTGTCTGTCTCCCTTTGTCTTGTTTCTCTCCCTCTCTCTCCCTCTCTCTCTCTCTCTCTCTCTCTCTCTCTCTCTCTTTATTGTGTATACACACACACACACATATATATATACACATACACGGCATGGATTCCTACATGGGGTCTAGGGTTTAGGTGTTCGGGGGTCGAGGAACATTTCCTTATCGGGGTTCTGTTGAGAGACCCAAGAGAGCATCCGTTCCCAGCAAGGCGCCTTAGTTTAGTATAGCACTGTATTTACAGTGTACATGACCTTATTGTTGCTGTCTGGCTCGGTAGTTCAACGATTTGACGCCTGGATCAAAGGCGTAGTCGTTGTGTTGGTCGTTGTAGCAGAAGCAGTGGTGATAGCAGCAATGGTAGCCGTAGCAGAAGCAGTGACGCGACGTGCGTAGGAGGAGTAGGAAGCAGTAGTAGCTGTAGTAGCAGTAGTCGCAGTCGTCGTCGTAGTCGTAGTCGTAGTCGTGGTGGTAGTGGTAGTGGTAGTCTCGGCAGTGGCGGCAGCAACCCACCCAAGACACCGCTTTTGCTCGGCAGATGGCGGCCTTGAAGATGTCCACCTGCTTCGAAGGGCCCTTCACACTTCCAGATCTGGCAGCAAGACGGGCCCTCAGAAGCTAGGGCTTACAGAACCGGCTATTCGGGGCTTGGGGCTCCTTCAAAAGGTTCCTTTAATTCCCCTACAGGTTACTCATTGGTTTAGGGAGTTTCGGGTTTAGGATCCTGTCTGTTTTCCCTTGTCTGATCCTCCCACTGTTGTTCTCATTGTTGCCTGTTCTTGATGCTGCGCAGAGCAAGCCCAGCGAGGAAGATTTCCAGTACCCTCCTCCCCACCCCCCAGGTCCACATAAATCAGCCATAAACCCCAATCGGCTCAACAACCCGACGCGCGTCAACTTTTGACTTTGAGCCCTTGAGGCAACTGCTCGCAATGGGGTGGGTCCACCCACTTTGACCTGCCTCCACCTCAGGGGCCCGGTCCGCTGGGTTTAGAGATCAGAGTTTAGGGTCCTGGGTTCTGGGAGTTGGGATTTTAGGGTTTTGGGAGGTGTAGGGCTTTTCGGGCTTAAGGCTTTGGGCTGTTTTGGGTGCTCGTAGCAAGAGAAGCAAAGGTTGACTCCCTGGTCATTGTCGTCATAGCTCCGAACCCCATGCAGGCATAAGGCGCAAGCTTCAGTCACAGACACAACGCAAAATTTGTGACTAATTCGTAACTGTATCACCTCATTGTTGAATAGTCCTTATTCTAATTGTCAGTGCCCCTGTATTGCTGTCGTGGTATCAGTATCACTACGTGCCAAGCAAACATGCCACTCACAAAGATGATGTTCGTAGCTGTAGAACCGTGGCCATAAAGCAGGGTACTTTGAAAGCTTATGTCGGCCACAATGTTCTGCTTCTGCTCCTCTACCTCGTGCTGTGCTCCTGCTCGTACAGAGAAAAACACAGCTAAACAAAGCAGTCTATGGCACACCGCAGTTCAACAGTCCCGCTCAGAATCGTTCCTAAGAGTAACAGGCACGGCTTTAGAAGCACCACTAACCCGTAGGGATGGTGATGAGAAGCAGATCTCTGTGTAGCATCACCACCTAGACTGGGAGCTTGGCCTGTTTGTTTCAAGGGCAGTTGCAGGACTTTTAACCGCACGCCTGCTCGGATTGTAGGAGCTGAAGCGCCTGGAGCAGCAAAGGCATCAAAGCTACGAGAAGCAGTAGCCAAGCCACACCATGACAGCAGCACACTGAGGTTGCGCCTCTTCAGAGCAACCAGAAAACTGGTGTCCAGAGGCTTCATAGACAAGGCGCCGCTTGGAACTTGGGCATGGTTCTGAGACGGCCGTGAAGCTCGCCAAAGTACCACTTTCGTGTCGGACGTATCCGTTTTTGCATCCTTGAGCATGCTCGTTGCATCGTCCCTACCTTTACTCCGTGGCAGTTCTGATCCCGACTCTCGTCAATCCTGGCCTGCAACCCTGAAACCCTAAACGCTTCGCTGGCCGCCTGGGTTCGCATGATGATAGGGTGTGCCATGCCTGCTGGCGAATCTGTGCTGGCTACAGAGGGCTAGGCCTCCTAGCTTCTCAAACCTGCATAGACCAGCTGTTCAGTAGTGGTGTAGATGGTCAACAGCAACCCTAGCTGTGTGGCCTTTCTTTCTGAAGACTAAGCCCAATCCAGACCCCCTGAACCCTCAACCATCAAAGCCCGATGCCACGTAAGCCCTAAATCCTGATAACACTTTATGGAACCCTACACAAGTCCCACATAAAACCTTTATGGAACCTTATAAGCCCTTACAGTAACCCTTACAGCAGCCCTAAAGACGAAAACCCCTATAAGAACCTTTCTGGAATTCCACCAAAAGCCCCCATGCCCAGTTATGCTAATCCCTTATAGTATCCCCTTTATAGTAACCCCTCATAGTTAGCTCCTTATAGTAAGCCCTTATGGGTAACCCCGATAAGAGCCTTCAAAGAAGTCACCTTTGTCCATTCAGGCAAATCACTAAACCCCTACAACCCTTATGAAAATCTCTCTGGAATCCACCGAAAAGCACCCTAAACCCTAAACCTAAACCCTAAACCCTAAACTCAGAATAGCGGGCACTTGCCTTCTGCCACGCAGATTCCCGAGCTAGGAGCTAGCAGACGGAAAAAGGCCCTCAAAAAAAAACCCTGGACCCACAACATACTACGACATCCCAAAGAGGCCTTGCAATCTGCAGCGCTGGCCCTGGCGGCGCAGCCAGGCATGATCGGCCTCGAGGCTGGAAACCAAAACCGCGCAACGCCACTCCGAAAGTATAACCTAGTATTAGGGTTTAGGGTTTAGGGTGAAGTACAAAAAAAGGATAATATCATATAGCCTAGTAGAGTACTTAGTACAACCTAATATAATATCATGTAGTGCAGCATGGTATAAATATGGAGTTTAAAGCATTGTATGATAGCTGCTTTTCCGGCAAGGCCACTCCTGACGTGGTGGCGCGATTGCTGAAAGGACTCTTCGTTTGAAGGAAAAAGGTATAGTTCCATCACCCGGCAAGAGTGCCAAACAGAAGACGTGATGGGGCAAGCGCCCTCTGCAACTCTTGCGGAGCTTAGGTGCCAACAGTCGAGAAAGCCGGCGCCTAAGGCCCTGCTGTGTTTCTAAGGGCCTTTGAGTCCCTGACCCTAAACCCTAAACCCTAAACCGTGTACTTCTGAGCCGAGGAGCTTGCCAATGCCAGTGGGGCGGTCTCGCAGAATGCGGCTCGGGGTGGGGTCTGGGGCTCGACCTTGGAGGCCGGGGACACTTCGCCCAAGTAGGCCCCTCTTGCTCTGCCCTTTTCCGGACGAACGCATGTGCTAGTTGCTTGAAGATGGAGGAGGCATTCTGTCCCTGGGGCATAGCCTCATCCTTGAGTGTGATATGTCATCAATGACAGCTGTCCGCAAACCGCTGTCAGGCGACACAGCCAGCAACCAGCATCACTGAAAACAGCAACAGCCAACACACCGTCACCGACAGTATAGAGTCACACAGCACAAGGAAGACTCGGGTGTGGCAGGGCCTTTTTGTCAAAGAGGTGTGGCGAACCCGAAAGGCCGCGAATTTCTCGGCACTGTGAAGTTCGATTCTCCTTCCTTGACCTCTGGGCTTGGGCTTTTGCTTCAGAGGTATCCTGTCATGTGTTTTCCGCTGCCTCGCTTGGAACTTACTGCTCGCTCTGCTTTTTTGTTTTGTCTGAAGCTCGTGCCACGAGCTACGCTTGGCTAAACCCTTCGTCGCTCCCTGCCGACGCCGTCTTTGGACCAGTTGGTGCCGGGGCCTCGCGCTGCACTGAACTTCGGGTGAGAAGGAATCCGTGCGAGTTTTGGGTTCTCGCTTGCCCAGACAACTTCGTCCAAGATGTGGATACAGAGATAACCCTAAACCCTAATCCTTAACTAATTTGAGATGCTAACATTAAATCAGATGATTGCAGAGATGCTTTCGGGAGGCCGAGGAAGAAGTGAAGTCCGAAGCCGCTGCCTGGCGCGACAGGGCGGCTCTGCTCAACTTCCTGCCTTTCCGAGGGCCACTGACGGCCCTGAGGGCAAGCTGTGCTGAAAATTTGGCAGCAGCCCCGCCACTTCCGGTGCTCCTCAGGTCTGCAAATATCTCTCCGGGCCGAGCACAGCTCTTCTGGGAGGAGGGGAGAGCTGAGAGAAGTAGGGGGGAGCTGCTGCCTAGAGGCACCATTCCTATCAGCTTGGGGACAGGGTTCAAAAGAGGCGAAGGAGAATGTCAGCTTTGCACGCTTGGCTCTTGGGCAGGCGTTTTTCATGTCGTGGATGCCCGAGACTTCGTGAGAGCCTCGGTCGGGTGGGCTCCGGGAGTGCTGGTGCATCCGTGTGGGTAGTTCCCTAATAGGGCCCCTACGGTTGATGATAAAACTTCTGCATTACCCATCATAAGGAATATACCATAAATTCCCATAGTTTAGGGTCCTTAAGGCAATGCAGGATTTACATCATCAACAGTATTTAGGTTCCCAATATAGTACGGCACCCTTATAACAAGGACCCCCCAAAAGGGACCCTAATTTAGAGAACTACCCATGCAGTATGCAGAGCGACTGATGACCCTTGGCTTGCGTGGTCCCTTTTTCTGAGCCTGCATCTCCCTATAACCCTAAACCCTATAACCCTAAACCCGAAACCCTAGACCCTAAACCCGAAACCCTATAACCCTAAACCCTAGACCCTAAACCCGAAACCCTATAAGCCTAAAATCTTGTGGTCCGGCGTTTTTCTCTCTTCTCGAAGGCGCGAAAGCTGAGCGCCGAGGCGGCTCCTTTTTGGCGGTTCAAAGCAGATCATGGCCAGTCGTTTAGGGGTTTAGGGGTTTAGGGTTGAGGGTTTAGGGTTTAGGGTTTAGGGGAGAGAAGTGCAGGTCCCGAGCCACTGCAGACCGGGTGAGGAGGTCTTCATCCAGCGAAGGCGGACCGAAAGTAGGTCTGCACAGCAGACTTATCGTATCAAGGTCTGGCCAGTTCCAGGGAATGTGTCGATCTGCTGGTGTTGTGCCATGCACTGCGAATCCTGCAGAAGCCAAGCTGAGTGCAGCCATCGTCCCCCTGAAGAGGTTGGAGACCCTCCTGGCGTCCAACAGCCCGTGGCTCCCGGCTGATGTCAGCCTGGCAACAGTTAGATCTCTCCACTGAGATGAACAGAGCTGGGCGCTTTCCGGCACCTTTCCGGGCACATCTTTCCTTTCTGGTCTTGAAGGATCGTCTCGTCCAGGCCGCTGCCCTGCGCCTGGGCCTCGGTGGCGCAGAGGCTCCAGGAGTTCCCTTTCTTCGAACGACAGGTGCCCGCCCGAAACGATATGCCTCTGCCTTAGCTGCCTTAGCTGCTTTAGCTCTCTTTGCGAAAATGCAAGAGGGCCACGGCAGCTGCTCCGACCCTGCCCTGAGCTTGCGATTGCGAGGTGCTGGTTGTGGCGGATTGCGCGCAGCTGAGCCTGGGAGGATCGCGAAGGCACGACGCACGAGCGAAGGACTGCTCTTCAGCAACGTCATCGGCTCCCGTCGTGTTGCAAGCATCCGTGCTCTTGGAGATCATGTAGGTCTCAGGTCATGAGTTCGTGAGGATCACTATAGATAGCCTGGACAAGGCTTTCGATGTGATGATACGTGCCCTCTATGACAATCAGCAGCACTGCGAGTGCGGTGCCTTCGGATCACAGCCGTGGGACCCGCAACCCTGTCTACAGTACCCGCCGTCGGCACAAGACTCGTCAATCCGAAGAGCCAAGTGTTCTCGAGCTCCCCAAGACGTGAAAAGTCCGACTTGGCTGAACATCCTGGACTTGGCTTTCGTGCAAAGCATTGCACACCTCCGTGCTTCTTCTGTCCCCAGCTCCGGATTCACGGAGCCAGTTCAATCGCGTACATACCAAAGAAGCCCACATGCAGCCACATGCACCAGCCTGTCTGAAAAGTGGCTTGATGGCACAGTTTTCAAGAAGGACAGCGAGCCTGCCAGAACTCTTCAGCGCCTCGTTGGCCGAAGCGGAGAGAACGAAACGGCAGGTAGGTAAATTCATGGCACAGAGTCGAGTGCTACACTCCTATAGCCTACAAACGGCTCCTTTGCGAAAAGCAGCCAACAAGGCGCAAGCTCCTGGTGAGTGGCCTCCCTCCAATCCATGCCTTTCAGAGCTGACGCGGAGGTTCCTGCACCAATTCTACGTCCTGCCTTTCGCCCGGATGCCCAGATTTGTCCTCTCGATCGTGCTCCTCGTGACCGTATGCGCGGAGAGATATGCGCCCAGGTTGCGCAGGAGCGCCGAGCCTTCCTCCGACGGCCGCTGCCTTAGTGAATTAGGTGCTGCTCGAATCGGGTCAGAGGAGAGAAAGTGTTTGGTGATGGCCCAGGAAGCTGATGCAGGAGGTTTGGGTCTCAGAGGGCTGAGGTGGGAGATAATAAAAGTTAACAAAGATAAGAGAGATAATAACTGTATATTATAAGTACTAAGTACACAAGTGAATAGATAGATCTATACATACATATATATATACACATATATATGCACACACAGAATCTCATTAGACCATTCGATATCGGAACTTGCAGCGGTCAGCCCCAAGGTTTCTGCGGCAGCAGAAGCGATAGAAGGGGAGTGCCCAGTCCAGATCAGTCCCAAGCTCGGGCAAGTAGCAGATGCGATGTTTTCATGTTGCCTGCGCTGGAGTGAGGTGTGCTTCTGGCAGACTCGGAGCAATTCTACCACAGTTGGGAGTTTTGGAGGCTTTTCCGCTGCCTCAGAGCTTCGCGCGGAACATAGTGAAACTGTTAAATGCTGGGAGGCATTTCTGGTCGTGTGCGACTTGCACCGAGTGATCGATTTATCCGCAGAGCACCTTGCGGAAAACGGCCAGGTAACAAGAGCATGTACGTTTCTGCCGCTATGGCGTTTTGCATCTTCTGTTTCACGTCAGCCGCCAGGTGCTGCCTAGCAACTACTAACTTGTAACTGCTTGTTCTTCCGGACTACTTGAGTTGCCAGGGCACACTCTGAGGATTTGTTGAGCTCCGTCCGGACCGGTGTGTGCAGTTTTGCAAGACGTTTTCAAGGGTTCCATTGCGTTCACGTTGATTTTCAGGCACGAGAACAGGTATTGAAGTGCAAGGCCTTGGCTTGCTGGCTGTGAAAGCTACTGTGACTCTGAGGTATAGGGAAGCTTCGTCCGATATTGCATTCAGGAAGTGAGAGTGCAGTTTGGCAAGAGCCTGTAATGGTAGGACAAGTGCACTTATAATTTTCAGCTTCTGAACGAGATCGGCAACTCATGCGGTCGTTGCACGTACGTCGGTGTATTGAAAGCTTTGGCATTTTACCGCAGAAACATCAATGCGAAGCACTATGGCTCTACGACAGCAGCTACAAAGCAAACAACTGGAGTCTGTGACAGTACCTACCCACCCCAGATGTATTTCATACGAGGAGGACTCAACAAACATCGACAGAGCTGTTTCGGGTGCATACTGCAGAACCTATTTGGCGCCGTTCGCGCAGCTGCAGACAGCTCACATCCGGTAGGTGCAAGTAGAACGTAGACAGCCTCTGATGGCCAGCTAAAGCTGCTTGAAGGCAGCGATGCCGGCAGCCTCGCCAGGTCTGCGCAGCAAGAGGGAGTGTTAGCCGACACCATAGCCCAAGCAATCCGCACTGCTCCTCCTGCCATGCTAATTACCTTCGCACCGTAGCGTTGAAGGCATAGACTCAGAAATGTCTAAGTGGTCCCGAGAAGCATATCTTGCAGGCACTCTTTCTGCCAGATGGTGCAAAGTCGGCAACTTAGAGGTTCTGAGGCAACGAGTTGTAATTCCCTCTTCTCGCGAGAGTACTGTATTTCACAGCATATAACTGCACCACCTCTGATTGGCTGAGACGCCAACGCCGCGGAGCGTGTTTGGCTGAGTTTGAATCGGAACACCTATGAACGGCTGAGGGACTGTCAGGCAACATGTATGAACCAGTATGCTTTGACCATCCGTCTGCTCCGCCCAAAGGTCCCATCTGCAAACGTCTCAGGCAGGTCAGAGGAAGCCGTGCATGCTGTGCAGCTGCGTAAGGGCGGTTTGTGCAGGGGCCCTTTCCTCTGTGACCACCTGCAGCGGCAGCTCTTGCGAGGCAGAATTGGCTGTGCCGTTGTGACACAGTACTTGCAGTTGCTACGAGTGCCGCATCGGAGGGACGCATGGCGGTGCCCACCGGCGTCCGCGTTGCTGTGCGCATCAGGCCGCTCCTGGCACGGGAGGCGCGCAAGTTAGCATGAAACGCTGCTGACCCCGCTTTGCTTCGGCTGTGTCAGGCGGGACAGCGCCAGGGCGTTCGCAGCTATCCGTCGCAGAGCAAGATCGTCTTGACTGGCTTGGATCGTGGCCAGGCACTCCGCGGGCCACCAGTACAAACAGCTGTGCCGACTTCATATTATCAGATTTTTGCCAGTGAAGAAACCGGCTCCCGAGGGAATGAAGAAGTCTGCCATGACAGTGCCGGGGGTTTCTAGCGAAAAATGAGAATGTGCGCGGAGTCGGTCGCCTCCCGCGCAGGAGAAATGCTTCATAGTAGATTCGATCCTGGACAGCCGGCCGCCGATGGAGAGGTGGCAGTGCCAGGGCATGTCAACCTTTCTAGTGTCGCTTTGTAACCGGAGCCCATGTGCTGCTTGTACCTTGTACCTTCTGCCTGGAGGAGCAGCGGTGGTCAAACAGGTCCGCCTCTCATGATAGCGCGCAATCACGCTGAACTACGACTGCAGCCCAGGCAGCAGAACGACTTCTAGGCCCCTGCGAGCTTCTTTGCAGAGATGGGATGCCAAAGAGCTTAGAAGCTTGGCTGGTCGAGCCAGCTGAGATGAGCTGTTGCCGTGCCAGGGAAAGCTTCCCGATGGATGGCTCGCAAGAGGCTGTCTACGAGGTCCCAAGAAAGCAATCAGATGCACAGCAACACTCCCGGTCGCGGCGGCCATGCCGTGTTGCAGTTTGCCCCATGCAAGGCTGTTGGAGCAGAGATTGTGCGAAAAGCCGTCGAAGGCGTCCTCGAGCGTGTTGGTCAATGCTTCGTGTCCATGCCACGATTTGGCTTCCATCGATGTCCGATGCTCGCTTGCTAGGCTACAATGCCTGCATGTTGGCCTATGGCCACACAGGCCTTCCGCAAACCAAATCAAGCAATAAGTCCGTGTCTTCAAACGGCGTTTGCCGGTGAGCCCATGTGGAACTGGGGTTCTTAAATCGGCCGTTCACCGGAGGGTCTGGCAAGACCTACACCGTGATGGGCTCTGAGCAGGGGCCTCTGTGCTGAAGCTTTCTGACCGAATACGACCTCCCCTCATGATTCCAAGAGATGGGCTGAGCTGAGGTTCACCAGAGACCTGGAGCCAGATGACCTGTCTCCGCTCCAATGCGAGACTTGCTCAAGAAGTCGCGGAAACATTGCAGGGCCTTTTTGTGATTGCTAACCTTAAGCTGTAGGCTCACGAGTGCTGCAGCTTTCTCGCTCCCCTCTCTCTTCCTTTCTCTCACAGTGCCATGGTGCTGGAAACGATGGCCTCACAGCTCGCAGCAGTGGCTGCAGGCCTTGAAGCCCTTCCAGTTTACGGAACCGAGCAGCGAAACGCAAACGCTGAGACCGCCGAGAAGCTACAGATGCAGCAACGCACCTCAGAGCGTGACGCCCTCTTCACAGGGGACGGACCGTCGGTGTTTTCCCGAGGACTGGCATCAGGCCATAGTGGTGGAGATCTACAAAGGCAAAGGTGCCCTCACAGACCCCGCCAGCTACCGGCCCATTTCTCTTTTGAACACCTCACACAAACTGTTCGCCAAGATCCTCCACAGCAGACTACAAGCAGCCCTGGACGACAGGCTCAGGGACCCACAGTTCCGCTTCAGAGCAGCGTGCTCAACTTCACGGCCTATACACAGCAGACGCAGACTCATTGAAAGAGCAGGGGCCACGGGACCATCCCTCTACACGATTCTGTTGGACTGGGAGAAAACTTTCGACAAGATCCACCCAGAAGCACTCCTCACAGCCCTCGGCAGAGTCGGAGTACCAGCACACTTCACGGCCCTCATCAAAGACATATACAGTCATATACACTTCTCCACCCGTCGCAGCAGCAGGCCGCAAGGGCACTACAGAAGAAACACAAAGCAGGCATCCGACAAGGCTGCGCGCTTTCACCATACCTGTTCCCATTGTCCGCCGATGACCGTGCACGACGTGGACATAGAACTGGCTCTTCAGCCAAATTCAGCCTTTCTACGATTTGGCAGACGCCGACGACACAGCGCTGATAGCAGGAACAGCACAACGTGCAGAGCAGCTACTACACACCCTAAAAAACGTGAACGGCAATCTTCACCTCAACCTGAAGAAGTGCGTCCTCCTGAGGTCACCTACCTCACAAAACAGCGTCAGCTTCTACAACGGCACCCCGCTCACGATAGAACGGCACACCAAGGACTTTGGCGTTACGCTCAGCAGCGATGGCTCCTCACACGAAAACATTGTCACAAGACTTGCCAAAGCACGCAAACACTTTCACTCTTTCCACGAGTTTTGGCGCAATACCAATGTCACCCTGAAGTGGAAGCTTCGCCTTTGCAACGCCGTTTTCATCCCGCACGTCACATACGGCCTTGAATCAACAGCTCGTACCACCGGAGACTACAACAGACTCGAACCATTCCATTCACAGAGCCTTCGCAACATATTGAACATCAAAAGCACTTACTACACCCAAGTCCTGCAGCCCACAGCATGCACCCATGCAACTCTCACGCAACAACTCCAAGCGAAATCAGGTCTGTGAACAAATCGAAAAGGAGGCAGCTGTGAGGAGTGTCTTGCATTTTGGCAGCCTCACTAAGGAGTACTTACTTCAACATTGGCGGTCTACATCTAGTCTGGGAGCTTGTAGATACGAGTGGGGGAGGGTAGGGCTGTGAGAAGGCCTGTCCAATGGACTCGCCTCCTACCTGGCCTTAGGCCTGCACCTACCGTACAAGTGCCACCTCTATACTGAAAAGTACGTGTAAAACAGCAGTTCCGTTCTATATTGTTCGGATGGGATCGAAGAATGTGCCCAAAAATATTCAGCTGTGCCAAACCCTAGACCCGAAACCTTCCGTAGCCTGCATTGTTGGGAGTGCCCCTTTGCTTCCTCGCTTTCCAAGATGTTCGAAGATGTCCGGGAGCCAGAGGATGCCATAGTCTGCTTGAATCATATACAATACTATATTAGAATAGACTATAATACAGTATAATATAGTATAGTATAATATAGTACAGAACAGGAAAAAAAAGATGATAGAATGTAGTATAATATAGTATAGTTTTATTGTATAGTTCAGCAGCCGAGGATGCCAAGCCAGTCAAAGGAACCGGTCTCCCACCTAGAGAGCCTGCGATGCCAAAGGACACTGCACGTAGGGAGCTGGAGTCCCGGCCCCTGGGCTCTGAGGCACGCCTCGCACGTCTGTTCGAGAGAAGGTCAGCGCTTCGCCGCTTGAGAAGGCCGGGGCGCGGGGTAACCCCAATCGAACTCAGGGTTTAGGGATGTGTAGGGTTTAGGGTTGAGGGTTTAAAGCTTCCCAAGCTTCCGCTCTTATTCCAAGTTGTTGGGAGGGGCCCGCAGACAGCAGCTTTGACATGGATGCCGGGATTTCAGCCTCCGGAGAGCCAGCTCGACTGTGCCTTTGGCCTCTTCACACTCCCGAAGCTGTCTACCTTCTCGCTTAGGTGGGCTTCGGCTCCGGCCTGGTGCCGCGAACTCTGGAAGCGATCTTCAACGCGCTGAGCGAGGAAAGCATGCGTTGGATGATGCTTCCCAGCGTACTCTGTCGTAGGCTTGCGATTCTTAGTCTCAGATGGACTGGATCGTGGCCCAGGAGCCTGACACGGTCTGTGTTGCCTCTTTCTACGAGGCTCTCCTGTCGCATAGAAAGCATCGCGACGCCCCACGCCAACCTTTGATGTCAGATCTGTGCAAGTGTGCCCCCTGAAGATCCACAACGAGCGGATCCGAGATCTCCTCGCACCAGCGACGCCGAAAGAAGCACCTGCTTGGCAGGACCGCAAACCATTCCACTTTGAGAACTCTTGCTGGCAAGAGAGAGAGAGAGAGAGAGAGAGGGCCAATATGGCCGACGCTTCCTTATCCGAGCACCAGCCAAGATAGACAAACAAGAGTGACCCGCATTAGTGTGGCTGACTCGCTAATTTGCGGACCTGGGGGCACCAAACCTTTCCTCGTTACCTTAGAATGGCGTGCCACAGCGGCCAGCANNCGCGTACCCTTGAACCGCAGGGGCGCTTTCGCGCGCGGGGGGTTGCGCTGGACCGCGCTTCCCCTCTTGCCTGGTAGAGAGAGAGCCCGGGAGAGAGAGAGAGAGAGAGTGAGAGAGCGAGAGACAAACGGGAAACCCCTCTCCAAGCCTTTCAGAAAGAAAGAAAGAAACAAAGAAAGAAAGATAGATAGACATAAAGAAAAGTCAGCATTGCATACGCTAATTAGGACTTGCTGATGAGGTTCATGAAGTCTGTAGGCGAACCAGGAAATTGTTGAGAGGGGCGTGACCGCGGGCTGCATGCCCGAACATCGACAAAAGAATCCCGGGCATCGAGACTCTATGTCTCTATGTATGCCATCGAAAGATGACATGGAAAGCATTCTTTGTCCCGTCCGAAAGCCCAACACTGTCTGTAGTTGTCATGATATTCTACGGGGTCGCTCGCGCCAGGGTGCATGTCACTCAACCATGGAGCTGCCTTGTCTCACACTGACAGCACTCGGCGGTAAGGTCTGCGCCGACCCGACAAGTGTCGGAAGGAAGGAAGGGCAGAAGGAAGGAAGGAAGGGCAGAAGGAAGGAAGGGCAGAAGGAAGAAGGAAGGAAGGAAGATAGAGAGAGAGAGAGAGTCTGTGTGTTTGTGTGCATGCACCGGTGCTTGTGCGAGGATGGCGGAAGCGGCGGACAGTCCACCACCAAGAGCCTACTGTAGTAGCGTTGGACAAAAAAACTGAAACCTGAAAGCCTTGCCAGAACTGCTCGTGCTGCTCAACACACGCCTGGTGATACATAGCTTTGCGGGAACTCTTGAGTTGTGCATGATCGCTCAGCTTCCGAGTGCCGATTCTCTCTTGGGATGCTCAGGCCGCGAAACGGCCGCGTGCATGGCAAGACAACAGCACAAGACTCAGACACTCTCTGTGAGGTTTGTTCATGGCAAGTCGTAGCCATGGTTGAGTATTCGTCACATCTTGGTGCTACGTACCTGCTCCGCATGATTCATGGGAAGCCCTTGTCTGCAAGTCTAAGCTTGGTAATGTACCAGAACTAGTGACCGGCTTGCAGTACTGTTGGTACTGTAGGTGGCCAGGTTGCGGCACCACATCCCGAATTTTGAGGTGCATTTTCATCCTCGTTTCGGTGCTTTCGTGGCGGGTGTCCAGCACTCGGGACGAACCAAGTTGACTCCAACATGCTTGAAAGAGGTTCGCCCATCTCCAGACTCGGCAGACTGAGGTCGAGGAAGTACCGTGTGACGATGTGCAAGAGGCGCCGAAGTTTGTTGAGCAAGGCCTACAGTGACTTAATCGTTTAGGTTGGGCGTGGTCCTGTTCCGGGTTGCTTGCGGAAGGCATGTGCCTGATCTGCCAGGCGCTTCGTCTCGTCAGCTTCGGATTGCAGGCGAAATGAGCCATGCATGGTGAGACCTGCACATCTTTCATGTAGCTGGTACGACTCAGCTCTGCCATGCAAGCTGTGTGCAGGTCAGAACAACTGCCGCCACCATGCTGAACGATCGTTCGTCTAGGCGACTTGGCAAGAGTTCCGGGCTGGAGCCAAGACTTGAAACTTGATTCTAGACGCCGGTCTACGCCGCTTTCAAAACGAAGCTTGACGTGAACGGCCTCGCCCCGTCGCCCTCCCTCCCACCCCCCCCCCCCTCCCCCACACACTCACAGACAAAACACAGAGGCAAAAGCACACAGCTTGGATGGCAACATTGCCGGTGCA